CTCCGTCTCTGCCCTGTAGTTTGTACAATGTCGCCCTGTTGGGACTGCCTCGGCTTTCCGTCGTCCATTAGGGAATTGTACGTACACTCCGGCTCCTCCTCTTTTCACAGCATCAGTGGCAGATCCGTCTGTATAGATCCTTATCCATGCTTCTCGTGGGTATCTTTGTTCAAGCATTGACAGGGTGAGGGACTTCTTGCTCAGGTCGCTGTGGTCATCTTTTGTGGTGAACTTAGGAATGGACGTGTGTATAATTATGTTTGTGTTTCTCTTTTCCCATGATGGTGCCTCTGGGGTGTGGTTCAGCATGTTCACGGTGGCTGGTAGATGGTCCTGTAGGGATTTTTGGATTTTTCTGCTTTCTTTGATGAAGTTGGACCTTTTTAGTCTTGTGGTGTTTGATCTGGCTGTTCTTGTGTGCAGTATATGATCCTCCATAGCTGTGGGCTTGGTGTACTGTATGAGGGCCTTGCATTCCCATCTCCTCTTCAGGGCCACTATAGATGTTGTTTGTTCCATCTTTTCTATAGGCGTTGACCTCATTGCTCCTGTGATGATTCGGAGAGCCTGGTTTTGCACTTTTTCCAGAGTGTATTTGTGAGTCTGTGCTGCAGTCATCCATGCACTGGATCCGTACTCGAGATGGGGCCTGATTGCGCCTAGATAGACCTGTCTAAGTGTTTTTTCATTTGCTCCCCACTGAGTCCCTGCTAGTTTTCTCATGATGGTAAGTTTCTTCCTGGCTTTAGTTTCTGCATTTTGAATGTGTTGTTTCCATGTGAAACGTTTGTCAAAGATTATTCCAAGATACTTCTGTTGATTCTCGAACTTTAGGGGGGTTTTGTCTAATGTGAGGTGTGTTGGCTCAGTCTGGCTGAGAGTGAAGAGTGTAACAGAAGACTTTTCTTTGTTTACGGTTACACACCAGGTTTTTGTCCATGATAATGATGATGATGATGATGATGATGATGATGATGATGATGATGATGATGATGATGATGATGATGATGATGATGATGATGATGATGATGATGATACTGTGCACGTGACATTGAGTAGGACATACATTTCTTAATGGTTGACCTCCCATGACAATCCTGTCTGGTTTATAATGATTTCTATCGCCCTGGGACTGCACAATGTTGAAGATCTCGCTGAAGTCAAGAGGCAAAATGAGGGCAAGAGTACATTTCTCCTTGCAGAGTATATCCCAAGAAAGAGCTGCCCTGACAGCTGGAGTCTTCGCCGGCTCGTAGAAAACATCCAT